AGGGGCGAGGGGCGGTCGGGGGCGCCGCCGTGCGTGTGGACCTGGAACGAGGGTTTAGGGTTTAGGGTTTAGAAAATGGAGAAAGTTTCGAAAGTTGAGACTGCGCGCGATGTCTCGGCGCGCGTCATCGATCGCGTTCGCGCGACGCGGGGGAGCGATGCCGCGGCGCGCGCGCGCGTCGACTTTGGTGGTGACGATGGTGGTGACGATGTCGATGATCCCGAGCGCGCTGGGCGCGCTGGATCGAGGACGAATGGTGGAACGATGGATGGATGCGGCGCGCGCGCGCGGCGGCGTGGATCTCGCGCGCGGCGTGCGACCGCGATCGATGGATCTCGCGCGATCGGTGACAGGTGAGAGACATGGGTTGGAGACGGATGCGGCGCCGGTGGAACGAGGGGAGGCGTACGCGCGTGTGGCGTGGAACGAGACGTTGCATCCGAGTCGGTACTCGACGAGCGACGAGCGAGGATTAGGAGGCGTCCTGTCGACGATGCGAAGCGAGTACGGGGAGGACGAGAAGACGGCGTTGTTGTTGTGTTTGCTGTACGAGCGGTTCGAGTTGGGGACGGAGAGCGCGTTTCGATCGTACTTTCGGACCATGCCGGAGGAATTCGAGACGCCGGCGCATTGGAGTCCGGAGACGGTGAAGGAGTTGGCGGGGAGCGACGTGTACGAGAGGGACATCATGGAGGAGTTCGAGACGGTGAAGAAAGTGTGGGGCGCGTTGAACAAGAGGGTTTTCGACGTGCACACGGATGTCTTTAAAAAAGGGGCGGCGAAAACGTTGTACGCGTTCCGATGGGCGTGGGCGGTCGTTCACGCCAGGGCCACGAGGATAAGCGGTAAAAGCGGACTAGCTCTCGTTCCGGTGATTGAAATGATTCGCGAGTGTGCGGATACGGGTGATGATGGAGATGTCAACGGCGAAGGTGCGGCAGACGGCGTTGACGACGCGTTTGCAGTGTACGATCCGCACGCCGATGAGGTGGTCGTGTACGCCAAACGTGACTACGCACCGAGGGAGGAAATCTGTGAACGCTACGGTGGCTGGAATAACGGCGAAGCCGTTCAGCACGTGGGTTATTTACCGAATGTTCACGAAAACTCCGCGCGAAACTGCGTTTTGCTCATTCTCGAGCCGGACGTTCGATACGTCGAAAAAGTTCGCCGAGCTGGCTACAGCGTTCCATTCCGCGTGTGCATGTCGTTTTCGGCAACTGAAAGCAGTTTGGACGCGTTTGCCGCGTACGCCGAGCTCGCTGACGGGCGAGAGGTCGATATAGGCCCGGGGGGTATCCCGAGAAACGTCTCTAAAGCCGCCGCCAAACGTATTTTAGAAGAGCGTCTCAATCGTTACCCGACTACGGCTGATCAGGACGCAGCCGCGCTGTCGACGATTCAAAACGCCGTCAATGACTTCTCCCGGGCGCTGAAAAATGAAGACTTGGCTGTTTTTGAGCGCGCTCAGATCGAGATGAAGTTGCGACAATCGCGTCATGGAGAATTGGCCGTTGGGCTTCGCATCCGTGAGAAGCGGATCCTCCGAGCTCTGATTGAAAAATTATCGCACGCCGCGCGCGAGGACGTTCACGACGAGCTTTGAGAATTCATTGTGATATGGAAAACGTTTAAAAATATTATTGATACATTTCCGGTGTTGGGTCTACTAGTCGGTTCTTGAAGCGAGCCCAAGTTGAGGGCAGAGTAAATAAAGCACGCGGGCGTACACGAGATCCAACCATGGCAAAAAATGGGTGAGTTTCGAAATCCTCCCCTTGGGATTCTATTCACTGGCTGGTTTCATAATCTGACAGAGTTTCTGAATATATTGAACCGTATTCACGGTGTGTTCGGCGGTCTCGCGAGTGCCAAACTCCACGACGCCATTTTCGAGTGGGACGCCGATCACGGTGCGCAGCTTCGCCTGCTCGGCTTGTCGCTTGCGTTGAAAGCTCCATGCTGGGAGCTGACGCACGTCTTCGTGCCACTCATAGTTACCGGTGTAACCGATACGACCAGGCATGCCAAAACCCATGCTGAATCGATTGAACATGGTGAAGGATGTATCGACGAATAAGTTCACGCCAGCCTGATCTGAGATGCACACCTTGGACGTGCAAAGCAGCGACTGCTTACCCTCGAATTCCCAGAATAGACCGTACTCGAACTTTTTCGCTTCGCACACGAACCGCATTCGCATCTCCATGCTGTTTGCACTCGGAATGCGCTCGAGCGGATTTACCAGCGGACCGTCCCGATGAAACATCGTCACCGCCTCGCTGAGCAATCGATCGATGTGCTGTCGCGACGCCGATCTCGACAGTTCCATATCCGACGAACGCGTTCGTTCAATACCTCTCGATTCACCCATATCGTTAGGCGCCTCCACTTCATCCGTGGAATTCGACCGTCCGCTATCGAACGAGCCGAGCGCTCCGTTGTACGATCCATCCAGAGCTGACGTCGGCGAAACCTCGCGCCCGCGTCCGTCCCTCGTCGCCACGTCCACGCTTAAGTTCGCCTTTGTCCCGCGCTGATCTCCGGTCATCCGCCTCGTCGACGTCGTCCTCGCGTCGTTCATCGCCCCTTCAACTCTTTCGTCGAGTTCTTCCCCTTGACAGCGTCTACCACTCCCGGGTGCCCCTTCCCGTCGAGCCCACCCGGTCCCGGCGCCGCGTCGTCCCCGTCGACGCCCCGCGCGCGCTCGAACGACGAACGAAAATAACCGCGCGCCGCGCGCGCGCGATCGGCGCAGAAAACCACTCGCGCGCGCGCGCACGAGCGAGAATCCACGCACGCGTTCCGCGCGCGCCGTGCGCGGCCTCGAAAGCGCGTCGGCGTCTCTGCGCGCGCGCGCGACCGCCCGCACGTCGCTCGAACGGCGTCGATCGACCGAGGGGTTCGCGCGCGATCGGTCGCGTGCGTCGACGAGCGCGCGCGCGCGAGCGGGGATCAAGGCGCGCGCGCCTCGTCCTAGGGACGACGTGGCAGCGACGCGGTGCCACAGTGGCTTTTCTGGGGTGGCACTCCCGGGTGTTTTTCTCGAGAGTCGTGTTTATAGGGATAGACGATGTATACTACGTAGTCGCGGGTTGCGACGCTTTTTGGCAGGAAAAGGATAAGACGCGCAAAAAGTGCTTTTTGCCCGAGGCGGCAAACGCGCGAGGCGCTCGGATTTCACTACAAGACGCTCGAGATGCGAGCTCTAGATTCCTTTCAACGCGAGTTTTTCGATGATTTTGGGAACGACGGTGTCGTCCTCTTTGTCCGCGTCGCCGCGGAGGTCGTTGAGGGCGACGCCAGAAGCCTTGTAGAGGGCGGGCATCTTCTCTTCGTCCCCGGCGATGCGCTGCGCGTGCGAGAGAACCTGGGAGAAGAGGGTGAGGGCGAAACCCTCGGCCAGGGCGTACCCGGGCTCTTCACCATCGGGCGTGGCCTTGCGAAGCGCGGCGGCGAGATCGACGAGCGAACACGTGCCATCGAGGACGGGACCGGCGATGCAGGCGGCGATGTGGTCGCCAGCCTTGGGCAAGTCGCACAGGATGTCTTCAATGTTGTTGAAGAGCGGCGCGCACCCTTCGATCAACTGCGCGCCGGACATCGGTCCGTCACTGGCGGCTAGCGCACGAAGGAGACCGTACGCCGCGTCCCAGTCCATGTCTCGGCGTTCAAAGCTCGTGGTCAAAAAGTACTCGACGAAACCGACGACTTGCCGAGGGCTCCACGAAGAGATCGACTTGACGGCCTCGGCCGCATCCTTGTCGTCGTAGAAGTACTCGGTGATCTTCTTGCGTTCAGCGATAAAAGTATCGTCGTCCACTTCTGCAGTTGCTTTCTTTTCAGGCGCGGCAGCCTTCGGAGCGGGGACTGCGGCCGCGGACGGCGCCATCGAGCTCCGGGGCTGCGGAATGCTCGAACGTGCGTCAACCTCGCGGCCAACCGATGGTCTAGAATCGCCACGATCGTCACGACCGGATCGACGATCGCCACCGAATCCGATTCGAGAATCAGATCGCTGGAAGCCGCCTCGGTCGCGTTCATCTCGACCGGAGCCTCGGCTCGGTGGACGATCAAAATCGCCTCCGCGTCGACTGTCGGATCGTGACATGGGGCCACCGAAGGAGCCGCTTCGCTCAGGACGGACGCCCGCACGACGTGTCTGCTCCATCGCAGCCCGTTCCGCATCGCGGTGCACCTCTGCAATCTTCTTCGGCCCCTCTTGTTTTCTACGCTCGCGCCATCCCGTGGCGCGCATGTCCAAGACGTCTTGCAACATGAAGCGATGACGAGAAGACAGCTCGCTCGACTTGCTAAGGTTATCCACACTTCTGAAGTAAGCATCCATGTGTTGCTTGGCCTTCTGATGATCGAGTTGACTGCCCACCGTGGACAAGAGCTTGCATAATGCTTCGACGTCCTCTTCACTCGGAGTCTTCTCGCCCGCGCCGAGAAGTTTCTGGATGCACACATGCATGATACGCTCGGTAAGCATAGATTTCTTGAATAATTCACCAATGAAACGAATATTACCGAGCATACGTCTGCGTGCTTGAAGGAGTCGATCGTCACGCTTTAACTGCTTTCGGCGCTCCTCAATCTCAAGTTCCTCCGGAGTCTTCTCCTTGGGCGGCTCGTCAATTTCGCCGTCTTCAAGCTCCTTCTTCTTCTCTTCCTTTTCCTCTTCACCCTCTTCACCCTCTTTTGTCTCTTCTTCTTCGTCCTCCCCAGCCTCGGCGCGAGCGATTGCCTTGTCGCTCGTCTCGAACTCTTCTTGACACTTGTTGAGTAAAACCCGCTTAAAGGTAATCTTCTGTTGTCCTTCAGGCGCAGTTGGATCTAAAAATTCGACGCCTTCGTTCATAAAACGATCAGAGAGCACGCGGCAAAGCTCGGCGTAGAGCGACGAGAAGGTCGGCTCTTGAAGCGCCTTTTCAAACAACTGACCGATGAGTCCGACGAGCGTCGCAGCTTCAGTGATGCCCACATCGAGAAGCTTCTCGAGGAGCTTCTCAAAGTTATCCGGAGTAAGCTTGTTGAGAATCGCCTTGAATGAACGCTGTCGTTTCTCTTCTTCGTCGTCAATGGTGCCGATGACGTACTTTTTATCCGTCTTGTGAAGCTTGGGGAGTTCGCCAGCCGGAATGCGGTACTGGGTTTGATTGTAGCCGCCACCACCACGACGATCTCCACGGCGTCCTCCTTCGCCCGCGGGAAGCTGACGATGCGCCCATTTGTCATCAACCTTTCCACCGCCACCACCGCCACGGCTACCGCCGCGTCGACCGCCGCGACCGCCACCGCCGCCGAAGGACTGCACGCCAGGTGGGCAGATGAAGCCGGGCACCGGCCAGTAGTCAATGTCATCCGGAACGACCCAGTTGATGGGCTTGGTGTTCGCGATCGGCGCATCGCGCATTGCCTTGAGCTCTTCGACGCTGTACTTCCCGTCCGCCGGCTTGGGGACGAGCGTGAACTCGGTCACCGGCGGTGGTGCGGATTGCACTCGCGAGAGTTGCCCGCTGTCTGAGTCGGCGTCCGAGGCCGCGTCGGAAGCAAAGCTGGAGACGGATTCAGAGTTGCTCAACTTCACTCCGGCAACGGCTTCCGCGAGCGCTTCCACCGCCTTGTGCTTCGGAGGCTCAGTTGCGGCCGGCGTTTCTTCTTGCTTGACCGGTTGCGGCTTCGGCGGCGCCGCTGGTTTGGCCGCCATGGCGGCGAAATTGATCGCCGCTGGAGCCGGGGCCGCCGGCTTCACCACTTCCGCAACCTTGGGTGCGACCGGTTCGACGGGTTTCGGCACGACAGGGGCCGGAGCGGGCTTCGGCACAGCGGGCTTGGCCGCCACGGCGGCGAAGTTGATCGGCGCTGGCACCGCGGGCGCCGGTACCGCTGGTTGCGGTGCCGTGGTAGGAGCCGGCGGCGCGGGCGACGCGGGAGCGGCCGGAGGCGCGGCCGCGGCCGGAGGCGCGGGCGTCGAATCGGACGCCGGCGTCGCAGGGTTTTCGGGCTCGGGCGGCTTTTCAATCTTGACCTCTTGCTTTGTCTTGGGGTTCACAATCTTGATCGCCTTGCTCACCGTCTTCACCGGCGGCGTCGCCGGCGGCTTCATTCCCGGCGGCTTGGCGTACGCCGGCATACCCATCGGCGGCATACCCATCATCATCCCGGGATGATACGGAGCCCCGCCCGGGACGAACATTTGACCCGGCATCATCCCCGGCATTCCGGGCTTACCCTGCGGCGGCATCATTCCCATCATCCCCCCCACCGGCATCTGCGGCCTCGCCCCCGGATGCATCCCCGGCATAGGCATCACCGGTTGTCCCGTCGGCGACTTCGACATGTCCATCGTGCCGAACATGAATTGCTGCTGCGGCGGCCCGCTCGCGTTCCCCGCGCTCGCGATGACCTTCTTCTCATCCGCTTTCCCCCCGTGCGCCCCCGCGCGCGGCTGCGGCACCCCTCTGTTCGGTGTTTGTCCATTTCCGCTCATCCCTCTCGTCCCTCACGCGCGGGATCGACGCCCTCGCGCGCGGCGCGGATTCGTTTCGATCGAGCGCCGCCTCGACGTCGGCGCCGTCGATCGCGTTCGAGACCTCGTTCCGGTCTCTCTTCGCGCGCGCGCGCCCGAGTGGACGAGCACGGACGATGCGCCGCGGACGATCGAGCGTGTCGCGGTCGAGAGCGACGCGGGCGCGTCGTCGTGGCGCGCGTCGGCGCGGTCAATATCCCCGAGGGCGAGTCGAGACCCTAAGGATAGGTTTATGCGATGTGTGACCGCCTTCGATGTATTTGCATACACGCCAGACGTCCGAGTATATACTTTATCCTCGCCCACATCGGACATATGACACGTATGATGGAATGTATGAAGGTGTATAGAAATATCAATCGCGCACGTTCGACGTCGACGCGACGCCGCGGCCGCTCGACGCCGCACACGTCGACGACGCGCGTCGATCATGCCCGTCCTCGGTGGACGCGTCGATGGCGTCGTTCCCGCGCGCGCGTCGCCTCGCGCGCGACGCGCGCGCGTGGACGGCACGCGCGGACGCGCGGGAATAGGCGCCCATCGCTCGAAGCGACCGCCGATCCGCGCGCGCGTCGTCGGACGATCGAGCGAACACGCGATCGATGAACTCTACCTCGGTGGTCAAGCGATTCGACGCGGGATGTCGATCGAGCTCGAGATCGGGGCGTCGCGGGTGCGATTGGAGACGGGACGCGTCGGCGCGCAGGCGAACGGCGCGGTGATGGCTTCGGAGGGCGATACGGTGATCTACGCCACGGCGTGCGCGTCGAGGGAATTAACCGGCGATGGGTCGTTCGTGCCGCTCACGGTGAATTACTCGGAACGGTTTTCGGCGGCTGGGCGCACGGCTGGCGGGTTTAGGAAACGGGACGGGGCGGTGAGCGAACGCGAGACGCTCAAGGCGCGCTTGGTCGATCGACCGATTCGGCCGATGATTCCCAAGGGATGGGGGTACGATACGCAGGTTTTACAGTGGTTGATGAGCTTTGACGGCGAGCGATCGACCGACGCGTTGGCGATCACCGCCGCGTCGGCGGCGTTGGCGGTGAGCGACATTCCGCTGAAAAAACCAGTGGTCGGCGTGCGCGTCGGACTCATGCCGGGCTCGGATGAGCCCATCGTGAACCCATCGCAGGAGCAGATGAAGGAGTCCAGGCTCGATCTTGTACTCGCGGGGACGGACGAGGCGGTGCTCATGATTGAGGGCTTTTGTGATTTCTTGACGACGGATGAAATGTTGCGAGCCATCGCGAAAGGTCACGAAGCCGTCTCCAAGGCGTGTAAGGAAATCGACGCCTGGGCGCAAACCGTGGCTCCGCCGAAGATGAACGAAAAGCTTATCGTCCCTCCCGAGGGTGTGGACGAGGCCGTGGAGGCTCTTGTCGGGGCAGAGCTCGCCGAGGCCATCGTTATTCCAATCAAGCAAGTGCGCGGCGCGACGATTGGCGCGGCGCGCGAGCGCGCCGTCGAGGCTCTGAAGGACCAGTATGAGGTACGCTTACGCCGTCTCGCTCCTTCTCGCGAACTCGATTGCGCTCTACCGATACGCCGTAACCGTTTCTCTCGAGAATTTGTTGGTTGCGGCTCAACTGCGAGCGCATATAAAAACGTGAATGCTTTGAACGGGCGACCAGCCCACCTTGGTTTCGCAGCCGAGTACTTCTGGACCCGCCCTTTGCACGCATTGTAAATTCCCGGCGTCGACATCACGAGAGAGAAACTGACGATGTCCTGATTTTTTCGCAACCAACAGGCCTCAGCTGTCATCAATGCGTGTGGGAAGGTCGAATCGCGCGCTCTTCGTGACACGATCCGTACCAAGGGTCGCCGTCAAGACGGTCGGACGACAAGAATGGTTCGGCCTATTGCGTGCGAGGCGGGTCTTCTTCCACGTACGCACGGTAGTGCACTGTTCACCCGCGGCGAGACACAAGCCATTGGTGTCGCAACCTTGGGCGGGAACCAAGACGCTCAACGTGTCGATGACATCGAAAAGACCGAAGACAAGCGATTTATGTTGCATTACTTTTTCCCGCCGTCTTCGGTTGGCGAGACAGGTCGCATCGGCGGCGCGTCTCGCCGTGAAGTTGGCCATGGCAACTTGGCTGAGCGCGCACTCACCCCAATCATTCCCTCTCAAGAGGAGTTCCCGTTCGTATGTCGAATGGAAAGCACCATCACCGAAAGCAACGGTTCGTCTTCTATGGCAACCGTTTGCGCCGGTACGCTCGCGCTTCTTGACGCGGGAGTTCCCCTCAAAAGGTACGTCTTGTTGATTTTTTTTCCTGTGCGTCTCGCAAAAGCCAGGTCCTTAAGAACGCTCTCCGTCGCATCGCTTCCGTGATGTATGGAGAGAGATCGAGTCATAACTTGGCAACATTAAAACGCATCGCGACACGTATTGTGTCGCTTCGTGCGTTAGCGTAATCGCTCGTTTTCGTGAAGTGTGGGAGATTCGTCGAGCTGACCTGCTTCACTCAGAGCGTGCCCGCGGACATTTTCTTTTCGTCGTGTGAACTCGTTGCCTTTTATTCATCGATTGACCATCATCATTTTCGCATCGCAGGAAAGTGGCGGGTATCGCCATGGGTTTGATTTTGGGATCCGAAGCCTCGGGTGGTGGTGAAAAGCTCGAGCCCATCGTGCTCACGGACATCTTGGGCTCTGAAGACGCTCTCGGAGACATGGATTTTAAGGTCGCTGGTGACGCAGACGGCATCACAGCTTTCCAAATGGATATCAAGGTCGAAGGCATTACGATTGATGTCATGAAGACTGCTCTCGAAGAAGCGCAAAAGGGTCTTGTGCACATCCTGGGCGAAATGGACAAGTGCAACCCGCCGCCCGCGTGCTCGGCGAGCCAGTACGCCCCACGGATGGCCTCCGTACCAGTTCCGGAGAGATTCATCGGCAAGGTTATCGGTAAAGGTGGTGAGACTATTAAGGGTATCATTGAAAAGACCGGTGCCGCTGTTGACGTGAATAAGGAAAAGGAGATGGTGTTCATCACGGGGGGTGCTGGCGCGGATGTCGACGAAGCTGCGCGAATGGTCGCAGCTTTAACCGTCGAAGCCGAGGTTGGGAAGATCTACCGTAACTGCCAAGTTAAGAAGATTGTTGAATTCGGTTGTTTCGTCGAATTTTTGCCCGGCATGGAAGGTTTGGTTCACATAAGTGAGCTTGACGTCTCTCGCGTCCCAAACGTCTCTGATGTTACGGCTGAAGGAGCGTTGCTGGACGTGAAGGTCATCGAGATCAATAACCGAGGACAGACGAGATTAAGTCGCAAGGAGGTCTTACTCGAAGAAAACCCAGATATTGCCGTCGCGGCAGCTGCGCCCAGACGGAACGATGGCGGCGGCGAGGACGACAGAGGTCGTCGGGGAGCGCGAGGTGGCAAGCCAAAGCGTGACTCTGGTGGATTTTAAATGCCAACAACAGGGCACTGTTAATTTAACGCACGTTCATGGTAGTTGTGTAGAGCTAGCGCTAGGATAATTGCAAACGGATTCTATTGCGACTGTGATAATCGATTCGACGCCCGACTGCCCACCCTAAAGACTTTTGTTGGACGTGCGGTTTTTTTCGCTGCGGGCTTCTTCGCTATTGCGGGCTTCACCTGTTTTGAACGTGCGATATTTTTCCCTGAGGGCTCCTTCGAACGTGGTTGCTCGTCATCGTCGTTTTTATCTCCATCGACCTCCTCCTCCTCCTCCTCCTCCTCTTCCTCCTCCTCTTCGTACTCCTCTTCGTACTCCTCCTCCTCCTCCTCCTCCTCCTCCTCTTCCTCGTCCTCGACCACTTCTGGTTCGGATTCAGACTCGGGCTCTGTCCCCGAGTTTGAGTCCGAGACATCCGTATCGCGCCCGTGCTTGGTACCGGACAGAGGTTTCTGCGGGCTACTCTTTGCTTGTTTGGCTGGAGCTTTCGCAGTGGGTGTATCATCCATCGTCGAGTGCATAGGCTTGACCTCCTCAGGCGCGCTCTTCCGCTGTTCCCGGAACAGCGACGCCGGGAACATGTCTTCTGGCTCGGACTTAATGTCGACCTTTAGTTCTTCAACCTCTTGCTCGCAAACCTTCTGTTGAGATTTAGCGTTGTTCTTCGGCCTACTAAGCACCCCGAGGGCGGCGGCGAGGCGCGAGCCCGAACCAGCGGCTGCCCTCGTCGCACCACCTCTCTCCGCGATGTTTAACGCCGCATCTTTCGCTTCGATTTCCATCAAGGGCTGAAGGAGGTCTCCTGTATTCGGAGGGTAGAAGAGTCGCTCAGATTTTTTGCGATTGTGCTCAGCGCGCAACGTGTCGACGGATGTTCCCGTTGAAGTCGGCTGGTCTTCCCCTTCGCCTACCTTCCTAGCTCGAATGGCTCCGAACGATGCTGTATCGTGCACGTGCATGCGTGCTTTCGCGGCAAACTTGCCGTAGTCCATGTGCCAACGCAACCGAACGGTCTCCAGCATGCTCTGTACCTTGCCGAGAACGCCTCCTGATCCACTCGCCTCGTTCTGCTCGATTCCCGTACCAAACTCAACATCGGTGCCGTACGGCATGAACGGCGTCACGGCTAAGATGTGTGATTGTGCGCTCGGCTCCCACACGGCCGTTCTGTCGTCGACGATCACCGCAAGCTCGCTTGGAAAGTGCAACCCACACGTGTCCGAGAGAGACTTGAGTTCGTCCGGTTTGACCGACTTGATGCGTTTGTCGAGTTGCGCCGGATCAAACACGGTGCCGTGCGGATCTAGCAGCCTGCACATCTCGCGCGCGTAGTCGATATTCGCCATCGTGCACACGAACGTCTCGGCGCGCTTGGAGCCGCGATCAGATCCGGACAAATACGAGCGCAGCTCGCCCCACCCAGGGCGAATGTGTACCAGCATCGCCGTCGCCGGGCTGCTCGGATCAATCAACGTGAACGCCAGCATCGCCCCCTTCGTGTGCGGACTCGGGATTCGGATGACATTTCGAAGCCTTTGCATACCGTTCGACAGAGGTTCAATCTCGGGAATCGTCACCGAACGTCGATTATTCACCGTCACTGCGCCCTCGGTGACGAATTGCATCAACATTTGACGATCCAACTGCGACCTTCGAAGCGCTGTCTCGCACGCTTGCTTTTCCTTCTTCACCTCATCAATCATCACCGTTGTCAAACGGGGATTGTTAAAATCAAATTTCATCAAGCTCAACATCTTCGACCGCGCGGTCTCGATCCTGCGGTCCAACGCGTGCAGCGTCGTCGCCTGCACCAACGTCTCGTCCAAATCCAAAACCACCACCAAACGATTATGCTTCAGCAATCCCTGCGCGTACGCCGGCGCCATCTCATCCGTCTGAAACGCCACGAACATCGTCTTCGGGTTACGCGCACCGCGATCGCCATCGCCCGCCGCTACCGTCTCGGCGTCCGGAACCGCCACCAGGTGCAGCTCGCCCATCCGTCCCCCGCTCGTCGGCGGCATCACCGCGCTCTTATTCTCTCGCACCATCTCCTCGTGTAAATCCTCGATCGCCTTCTTCAAATCGTCGTTCAACCCACTCTTCGGCGAGCATCGAAACGCCGGCGCCCCCGCGCTCCGCCTCGACAAGAAGTGCAGCGCCGCGAGCGGGTCCGGCGTCCCGCGCGTCTCCCAAAATCCCACGATCGTCACCCCGTCCTCGCCGCGTCCGAGTTCGCGCAGCATCGATGCGTGCCGCGTCCCCTCCCGTCCGCTCGCGCCTCGCCCGTCGTCGTCGTCGTCGTCGTCGTCGTTTTCCACCGAGTCGTCGTCGTTTCTCCGCGATGTCTCATCACTCGTCTCGAACGGCTCGCACGTCACCCACAACTCGCGCTGCGCCTCCCGTCCCGCGACGCGCAGTCGCAGATCCACCGTCCCGTCGCGGTCGAGCATCTCTCGCGCGCGCGCGCGGACGCGTCGACGTGTCTCGCGCTCGAGCGGTCGCGCGCGTCGTGTAGGGACTCTTTCTCGATTCATGACTCGTCGATATCTCCTACGGGTTCGGGATCGCACGCGTCGACGCCTCGTCCGACGCCGCACACGACGCCTCGGACGCCGACGCCGGGCGCGACGCGGTGACGATGTCCGCGACGTCGACGTCGCCCGCGCGCGCGGTCGCGTCGAGCGCGCGGGCGCGGCGAGCGCGCGGACGGGTCGTGAACGGCGCGCGCGCGGAAAGTTCACAGGCGCGCTCGAGCGCGTCCGCGCGCGCGCGCGAACGGCGCGCGCGGACGACGCGGGCGACCGCGGAGTCGTCGGTGTCGTCGGTGTACATCGAGCACACCGACGCGTACGGGGTGGTGTTTTACGCGAATTACTTTGCGACGTTGGCGAACGCGGCGGAGGCGCTCGGGACGGCGGACGGGGGCGCGGCGGATGGTGACGCGGCGAAGGCGATGGGTCGTGGACGCGTGTTAGCGATAGATGAGTGCAAGTACGCGCGACCGGCTGTTTTAGGAGATGAGATCGCGGTGAGGTCGGAGGTGATGGAGGTCGTATCGACGAGCGGGAGCGAGAGACGCGCCGTCGTGCGACAGATCGCGAGAAACGCGAACGACGAGGAGACGGTATATTTGAGCGCTGACGTGACGTATGTCGATCGTGATGACGCGTTGGAGGCGTTCACGTCGGTGGAGACGCCGGAATGGACGCCAGAGGAGCGTTTCGCGACGACGCCCGTGCGCGTGTATCGCGGAGAGGCGTCTTGGGGAGAGGATGAGTTGTCACACGTCGACGTGCTGCGCTTCTTTGAGCGCGGTCGCACCGATGCAATCGGAGGTGCACGCGCACTTCAACACCTCAAGGAGACGCACGGCGTCGTGGTGGTGGTTTCGCGTCTCAACGCGCGTTTCGCCGAGCGCATGCTCGTGCGTCGTCGCCCGAACGCAATCCCCGAGTGTGAGGTCCGGTCGTGCGTCGAGTTCAAGAGTCGAGGAATTCAAATCGTTTTTCACCAGGCTCTGTACGACGTCGACGGCGTCACGTGCGTGGCGCGCGCGTCCATCGCGTGCACGTGTCTGAACTCGAAGACGATGCGGCCCATGAAGTGTCCGAGCGCGCTCGCCGAACAATTCACCCCCTTCGTCCTGCGCCCGAGCGTGAGAGCGACCGGATCTAGCCCCGAGTCCCGAATCACCGCTCGAACGTCGTAGTCGTGTATCGTGAGCGCGCATTCTTTCCATCGCTCGCCCCGCGCGTTCGCCGCACAGCGCGCCTCGCGGCGCCCATGCCGGACGTCGTCCGCGTCGGCGGCGCCGACCTCGTGCGCACGCGCGAGTCCGACGGCACCTTCACCTACCGTCCCCTCGACGCCTCCACCGGCGCCGTCGTGGACGCGGCCACGTTCGAGGCGCGGAAGAGAGCCGAGAGGGAACGAAAGCTCTCGAGCGATCCCAAAGCCTCGGCGCGGTCGCAGCGCGAGTGGGAGCAGCGCACGCGGGCGAACATCGCGAAGACGCGCGTCGATGAGACGAGGAAGCTTCAGCGGCGAGAGCGGGAGCGGATCGAGCGAGAGAGCGGGACGACGGGACCGCGGAGGCGGACGCGAGACCTCGGCGCGAGCGCAAAGGCGTCGAACGAGTTGCTGGAGCTTCGAGAGGAGATGCGAATGGCGGACGCGGCGGGATTGGCGAAGAAGAATCCGGGACGATATTCGTTCTTGAAGGCGGCGCTGGAGGTTGAGGAGGCGAAACACGCGACGAAAGTGGAGGCTGCGAGGAAGAAGGAGTACGCGAAGGCGCGGTCGAGAAAAGGCGTGCGGGGCGACGCCGGCTTGGAGTTGGACGCGCTGAGCTCCGGGGAGGAGGATGACGTGCCTCGCGTTCGCGGCTCGCTGGAGGATTTGGACGATCCTGATTATCGCCGCGGACCGGCACCCGCGGCGAAGGCGGAGAACAAGAATGACGAGGAGAGAAGAGGGAAGAAGTCGACTCCGACAGAGGTGAAGGAGATCTCGCGAGCGATAGAGCGCTTAGAGGTGAACGAGAAGTTGCCTAAATCGAAGATTCCGAAGCCGCGCGGCGCGAACGGGGGCTTGGACACCGAAGATCCGGATCACAAGCACGGTTCGGTAAATCTGAAATCCGGAGGCGCGGGTCGAGGGAGAGGGCGAGGCGGACGAGGCGGACGAGGCGGACGAGGCGGACGAGGCATCTTGGTGTTCGATAAAAACACGTGAGCGCATATGATTGATTGACTTCGTGCGCGCGCACGGCGTAGATACAAGGTGCGTTGCTACAGCGCGGATTTCTCCATGTTGAGCGTTCGCTCGACGGCGTCGTTCCATCGCGCATAGTTTGCCTCGCGAGCTTCCGCGGACGACGTTGGGATGAATTCTTGCGAACCATCGTCGGTGGTACTCTTGCGTTGGAAGACATCTCGCTCGGTCATCAGGCCGACGCCGATGGCGGCGGCATACGCCGCTCCTCGCGCAGTCGTCTCCACGTCACCCGGACGTAAAACTTTCAATCCAACGCAGTCTGCTTGGATTTGCATGAGGAGGTTATTAGCGCTTGCGCCGCCGTCTGCTTTCAGGACGCTGAGTTCGTGCTCGGTGGACTCAGCCATGTCTTGACGCATTGCTTCGAGAACGTCTCTCGACTGAAACGCGATGGCGTCCAGCGCCGCGCGCGCAATGTGTCCTTTGTTGACGTATTGCGTCAATCCCACGATGACTCCGCGCGCGTCCTCGCGCCATCTCGGGGCGAAGAGTCCGGTAAACGCGGGAACGAATGATACCCCCGCGGCGTCTTCGACCGTGCTAGCTAAACTCTCGACGTCGCTCACCTTTGAAATCAGGCCAAGATTATCGCGCAACCAATGTACGACGGCGCCTCCGATCGCGATTGACCCTTCGAGCGCGTACGTCGGCTTTGAATCTCGACCACCGAGCTGCCACGCGAGCGTTGTGAGCAGTCCGTGCTTGGAGTGCACAGCGCTGGCGCCAGTGTTTAGAAGCATGAAGCAACCAGTTCCGTACGTATTCTTCGCCTCGCCGACGTCACACCTCTGCCCCAGCGTCGCCGATTGCTGATCACCGATGCAGCCAGTGATTTGAATCCCACCTAAACCCTCGAACACGTCCCCGTCGATCTCACCGAAACGCTCGGCGCACGACTTGATCTCCGGAAGCGCGCTTTCGGGCACGCCGAAAGCGGCGCACGTCGCCGCATCCCATCGCAGATCGTCCAATCTCATGAGCATCGTCCTCGACGCGTTCGAGACATCCGTGATGTGCTCGCGTCCGCCCGTGAGTTTGTACACGATCCAGCTCTCCACCGTACCAAAGCAAAGATCCCCCGACTCTGCGAGCGCCTTGACCTTTGGCTCGTTCTCCAACATCCAACGCATCTTCACCGCGCTAAAGTACGTGCTCACTGGGAGCCCGCACGTCTCCGCAAACTTCATGCGATCTCCACCGCACTCCTCATCGGTGATTCGCTCGCACAGCTCCCTCGTGCGCGCGTCCAACCACACCTGCGCGCGCGTCGCCGGCGTCCCGCTCCGTCGATCCCACGCCACCGTCGTCTCTCGCTGATTCGTGATCCCGATCGCCGACACCTCTCGCGCCGACACCCCAGCCTTTTTCAACGTCTCCTCGACGCACGTCACGACGTGTCGCGCGATCTCTTCCGGGTCGTGTTCGCACCATCCCGGCGCGCGATGCACTTGCGCGTGTTCCAATTGATGCGACGCCACGCGCGCGTAACTCGACGGATCGCGCGCGTTCGACGCCGCGTACAGGACGAACCGCGTGCTCGTCGTCCCTTGATCGATCGCGCCGACGTACGCGCGCGGCATCGCCCGTCGGCGCGGCGCGTGCTGTCGCGTCGCACCATTCGCTCGACGGAGGTGCGCGACACTGGTGTAAATCCGCCACACTATACGTGTCCGAATGTCCGAGTGGTTTTTATCGGTTATGAACAGCCCGCGTCGACGACGCCGCGACATCGACGGGCGCGCGCGATGGCGACGGCGACGCGATGCGCGCGATGCGACGGCCTCGAACGGTGCGCGCGATGGCGACGACGCGGCGACCGCGACCGGGGGGGCGAGAGAGGCGCGCGCGTGAGCGCGAGGCGGGCGATGGATGGGATGACGTCGGGACAAAGCCCTGGGTCGGGACGCGCGTCGAGTGACGCCGAGGCGACGAGCGAGCGTGGAGGCGAGGGAGGTGACTGACGATGGTGCGCGCGTGCGCGCGTGCGGGCGTAGGCGAGCGAACGTGCGGAGAAACGGAGGACGACGACGCGTGGCGACGCGCGCGGCGTCCTCGGTGGCGAGAAACCCGAACATGGCGCAGCTCAAAGCCGGATACCTCTTCCCGGAGATCGCTCGCATTCGCACGGCGTACTTGGAGAAGAACCCGGATGCGAAGGTTATCTCGCTCGGGATCGGTGACACGACGGAACCGATTCCGGCGGCGATCACGAAGGGGATGGTCGAGGCGGCGGCGGCGCTCGGAACGGTCGAGGGGTACTCGAAGAAGGGTGGCTACGGTCCGGAGGCTGGTCAGGCGGATCTTCGCAAGGCGGTCGCGGAGAGGTTGTACAAGGGGACACCGATCACGTTTGAGGATGTGTTCTGCTCCGATGGCTCGAAGTGCGACATTTCGCGCATGTTGCAGATGTTCGGCGCGGGTCGTAAAATCGCGGTGCAAGATCCGTCTTACCCGGCATACGTCGATTCTTCCGTCATCATGGGCCACTCCACCGGCTTCAACGATGGCGTGAAGCAGTATCAAAACATCACGTACATGCCGTGTGGTGCCGAGAACGATTTCTTTCCGGATCTCTCCGCTGCGCGAGACGCGGAACTCATCTTCTTCTGCTCCCCGAACAACCCAACGGGCGCCGCGGCGACGCGCGAGCAGCTCACGCAGCTCGTGAACCAAGCGCTGGAAACGGGCTCATTCATTATTTACGACGCCGCATACTCCGCCTTCGTCAGCGACCCGAACTGTCCGAAGACCATCTACGAAATCCCAGGCGCGGAAAAGTGCGCCATTGAAACCTGCTCCTTCTCCAAGTACGCCGGTTTCACCGGTTTGCGTCTCGGCTGGACCGTCTTCCCGGAAGCGCTCAAGTTCTCAGACGGTTACTCCGTCCGCGCTGACTGGACCCGCATGATGGGAACGAGCTTCAACGGCGCGTCCACCGTTGCGCAGAGCGCCGGTCTCGCGTGCCTCTCTGATGACGGCATGAAGGCGATGGAAGACCTCGTCAATTTCTACAAGGAAAACGCTGCCATCCTCAAGCGCACGTGGGAGGAGATGGGTTACAAGACGTACGGTGGCACCGATGCTCCGTACGTCTGGGTTTCTTTCGATGGTCGAGACTCTTGGGAAGTCTTCACCGAGATCCTCGAGAAGACACAGATCGTCACCACGCCGGGCGCCGGTTTCGGTCCGGCCGGTAACGGTTACGTGCGATGCAGCGCGTTCGGCAGCCGCGAAAACATTAACGAAGCCGCTCGCCGTCTTAAGGAGGCGTACTCCAAGTAACTCATCATGTCCTCATCGCTAATCATTTTAATACACAAAAAAGTGTCACACGAGTCGGTTGACAGGTTTGGCGCAAGTTGTTGGGAACTATAAATACTGCTCTTTATGTTACATGAACCGTGTTTCTCACTCTCGCTTGAAAGGGAACAGGCTCAAAAACGCCTGTGCGCTAATGCTGCAGCAGTTTACAGCGGTGAAAAATGGAAATGAATCATTCTCCTAGTAACATCGTCCGAGTCTTCTCACCGTACGATCATCGCCCGCGCGCCGCTTCCATCGCCGCTTTGGCTTTTGCTTGCTTCGCCGCGAGCTCGCGGACCTTGGCGAGAAGCTCCTGCGGAATTTCACGTTTCTTGTCGCCCACAGTCTTAACAGACTGCGCAGGCAACATGGCGATGCGCAAGAGGTTACGCCACTTGTCCTTGAGGTCCACCGCGGTGCGATGTTCGATCGCCGGGAAGCCAAGCTTTTTTATATCAGCCCATTTCCCGCCACCGCACTGCGCGACGCCTCGCACGAGTGCCTCGGCCTCTTCTAACGCCCAGGGGTTGTGGTGCTTGCTACGACGGCCGGTACCGTTCTCACCTTGCTTACTTCTGGCGGCTGGCCTTGCGGTGCCCCTCGCACCGCCCTTTGCGGAGCTTCCGTCAGCAGACTCAGCATCACTAACACTCTTCGCCTTTTTTGTGTTACTCTTCGGGAGCGACGCTTCCGCGACGCGCTTACCTTTGACGACCTTACCTCGTCCCTTAACAGCGCCGCGCCTGGCGCTCTCATGTTCATCCACCTCTTCGTCGTACAGCGAACGAGCTGACTTCACTTGACGTTTGCCGGCGGCGCGCTTGGGTGACGACACGCTCTGCTTGAATCGAGCGCCCCCAACGTAGGTGTCTTCACCGGACAGGGGCGAGCTATACCGACTCGACGGCGGGGTGAGGTCATCTCCGTTTCGGAACGCCTCGAGTCGTTTGATAATCCATTGCCTGTTGTTGGAGTTGGTGTCCTTGCCGAACAACGCGCGGTACTGCGCGCGCAGAGAAGCGATGGACTCCACCTCGGTGTGTCCCGGAACGCCAAACTCCACGACGGCAGGGATATGCTCGTACGCTTCAGATCGGCCACCTGACGCCCACGCGGGCTCGTGTCCAGGCGGAGCGTCGAGGCCGCACAAGTTGCCGTTGCTCATCCAAGCAGAGAGCGGCGGCGCCGTGTGCTGGACAAAAATCTCCGATCCGTCGTCGTCAATCAAGCCGTACGCACCGTCAATGTTGGGCGCGCCGAAATCACACAGCAAGTTTTCCGCCGCCTCGTCCAAGGTGAGGTCGAACGGCGAGTAAGATCGGTTCGACGCGCCATCGATGCCCGGGTACAGGTACGCCACGCTCTGCGTTGAAGCCTTATCGTCGTCGTCGCTCGCCCCTGACCCTGACGAGTAAATCGTCTTCATGCCGAGCATCGAATCAAACTGCTTCCCGTGCTCCAACAACGCCCCACGCTCGGCGGCAGCTATTCGCTGTGCGTTGGTCTTGCTTAAAATTTCACGTTCCGCCTCCTTCAACACCGGATCCGAAGCGAACGCGCGCTCGAGCCCCGCGGCGTCGATCGGGTCCGCCATGAACGACGATCCCTCTTCATCACCGTGTAAATCCGTTCCGTTCGGGAACCGGTACGAACGCACCGCCGCCGGCGCGCCGTCGCGCCGCAGGTGTCTGCTCGGGACAACCCTACTCCCGGGTGTCTGCACCACGGACATTGCGCGGATCCCCCGCTCCCGCGCGTCGCCGTTCCCCGTTCGCCGCGAACGCTCGCACGCACGCGCGAAACTTTATATTCTGTCAATTATCTGCGAGATCCGCGTCAACGCGTCACCGCAGACGATCGCGTCGAGGATTAAATCCCTCCCGATCGCCTCAACTCGCGGACCGTCCCGACGCGTTCGACGTCGCGTCGAGCGTTCACGCCCTCTCGACGCCCCGAAGCGTCCGCGCGCGCGCACGACGACGCGCGATGGGAAAAAGGAATTCCGCGGAGGATTTACGTCTCGCGGCGAAGCGCGCGCGTCGTCGATCGCGTCGACGACGACGTGTGCCGACGCGGCGGCGGCGCGATTGGCGCAGCCGCCGGACGCGTGGAGATGTCGAGTCACGACTCGTCGTCGGTCCCCAGCCGCCGCGCGCGTGATGACGGTGATGACGCATTCCGCGTTTTAGAGATCGCTAGGGTCACGACTCGTCGGGTTATCCGAAGGCCGGGGTACACGAAAGTATATGTACCGCCTGTACACATGATGGGTCACGAATCAAGGGTGGGAGCGATGGCTGGCGCCCGACGCCGCGCGCCCGCGGCGTCGCGCGGTGCGACGCCGCGCACGCGCGCGCGCGAACTCGCGAGCGATGTCCAACGCCGAGCTCGCGCGCGCCGCGCTGCGCGCCGCCCGCGCGGCGGCGAACCCGTTCACGCTCCACGTCTCGATGTCCAACAAGCACGTCCACGCCCAGATCGTTCGCGCGGTCGACGGTCACGTCGTCGCGAGCGCGTCGACGGTGGAGCGGGCGGTTCGCGAGCGTGAACCGCCGATTAGGGTGACGAGCGATAAGGTGGCGGCGAGAAGGGTGGGTGAAGTGATCGCGGAGCGGGCGAAAAAGGTGGAGGTTCCCGAGGTGCGGTGGGCGCGCCCGTACGGAGCGCGGTTCCACGGGAAGTTCGCGTCGCTCTTGACGGCGCTCCAGAGCGGTGGCGTGGGGTTGGCGTGAGTGATGGGTAGTATTTGTGATGTTAGCGTTCAGTCTTAGTCCTTGATGCGGTCGTTTCGTCGACTTCGCCTCGCGCGTCAGACGCGCTCGACAGAGCCTCACTTCGCGACGGACGTCACGCGATCGCGACGCGTCAAAACTCGGCGAGCGTAGATACCTTCGTTTGATCACTCGCGTTCGACACATAGCGCTTCACAAACGCCGCGCGTGATGTCGAGCGACGACGAAAAGCCCGCCGCCGCCGGCGAGAAGGAGAAGAAGCCGAAAAAGGAGAAAAAAGAAAAGCGAGAGAAGGGCGATCGCGCCGACGTGTCCAAGCCGTCGTCCAGCGCGAAACCGGAGGAGACGCACACGTTGTTCTTCGGACAGATGCCGTTCGATACCAAGGCGTCGGACATCATGCCGTGGCTCAAGGCGAATCTGACGCGACACGGGTGCGGGTTCGACATCAAGGAGATTCGCATGGCGGGCGGCAACGGCATGGGGACGCCGGGGAAGGATAAAAAGTTTAAAGGATTCGCTTTCGTAGATTTTTCGACGAATAAGGCGGCGAAGAAGGCGCTGAAGTTGCATCAGACGTTGTTCAGGGGACGGCCGGTGACGGTGGAGCGGTGCACACGCAAGGAGTTCATGGCGCCAAAGGCTGATAAACGGAAGCGAGAGGCGGACGCGGCGGATGGAGAGCCGGAGAAGAAGATGCTGAAGGTATTAGTGGAGCCGGATGTGGTGAAAGAGATGGTGGCGGAGGCGGTGGAGAACAGCGAGGGCACGCTCGCGGAGGGCGATTTGGACGCGAAAGTTCTCTCATTCTTAGGTCTCTTACCAAGGGACACGTGCCAAAAAGCGGTGAACGAGATTAAGAAGGTGTGCGTTAAGGGGAATCTCTCGCAGGTGAAGAATAAGGGGGCGTACTTCATGGGGATCGTTCGTAAGGTTTCGAAGATATCTTGGGAAGCGCGCGAGAAGGAGCGAGCAAAAAAGGCCGCGGACAACGCGGAGTCTGCTTGAATTGTTGTCATATAAAATGCAATCATCTTGAATTAAACCGTGTTTGAATCTCATCGGTGCGCGTCATTGCTATGATACAACATTCACGACGGTCTTATCACGCGGCAGTGTCCGCCGCGGTGGACTCGGAGGAGTAACCAAGAAGCTTGTCCGCCAAATCAGCCGGAGCGTACACCGCGACAGTGCGTGAGGGAACGTACGCCAAGAACGATGCCGGCCGGCCGTTGAACGCGTAGTCTTCGGCGATGAATTCGGGAGCGGTATACGTCCAGAGGTTGGAGTAACCGCCGAACTCGGGGTTATCCGAGCTCAACACAAGCTTGTACGTCGTCTTCTCCTTGCAGCCGATTCGGTAGTCGGAGAAGGACTGCGTCGGGTTCCAGTTGAACACGAACACCAGGTCACCGCGCTCGAAAACAATAACCTTATCAGCGTCGCTCTTGCACGACGTGTATTGGTGACTGGACGCGAGGTACTTGAAAGCGCCCGCGACCTTGTTCATCGCCCCGTCAAACGCGTTCAGGTACTTGTAACGCAAGTGATCCATGTCGGTCAGATCGAATCGCCTGCGGCACAAGTGGTACGAGTTACCGTTACCCGGAATGAACTTACCAGTGGAAGCCTCGACACGGTCGTCGCGAGGGAAATCGATCCACTCGGGGTGACCGAACTCGTTACCCATGAAGTTCAGGTAGCCCTCACCGCCAAGACCCATGGTGAATTGTCGAATCATCTTATGCAAAGCGATGCCACGAGAGATGGTCGGCGTGTCGGGAACCAAAGTGGACATGTTCGTGTACATTTCAGCGTCCATCAACCAGAACGCGGTGGTCTTATCGCCGACAAGCGCTTGATCGTGGGATTCGGCGTATGAGATACACTTTTCGCCGTAACGACGGTTCTCCATGGTGAACACCAAGTTGCCCATGTCCCAGTTCTCATCCGGACCCCATTCGCTCAAGACTTCAATCCACTTGTCCGCGATGGCCATCTGGAGACGATAGTCGAAGCCCACGCCGCCTTCCTTAACCGGTCGGCAGAGCGTCGGCATGCCACTCACATCTTCGGCAATGGTGGTCATCTTGCCTTCGTAAAGCGTGTGGAGCAGATCGTTGGCAAGCATCAGGTAAACCATCGCGTCGACGTCGGTCGCCATGCCGAAGTATTCGTCGTAGTTACCGGTGAACGCGACTTGCAGACCGTGGTGCTTGTACATCATCGAGGTCGCGCCATCGAAACGGAAGCCGTCGAACTTGTACTCTTCGATCCAGTAACGCAAGTTGGACAGCAAGAAGCGAAGCACCTCCCACTCGCCGTAGTTGAAGCAGCGAGAGTCCCACATCCAGTGATAGCCCTCCGGGCCAGAGTGGAAGTACTGGCCATTGCTGCCATCGAACATGTTCAGGCCGTCCATGGAGTTGGAGGACGCGTGCGAGTGCACCAAATCCATGATAACGCTGATCCCCATGGAGTGCGCCTTGTCAACCAAGTACTTCAACTCATCCGGAGTCCCGCATCGGGAGGAAACGGCGAAGAAATTGGTGACGTGATAGCCAAACGACGCGTAGTACGCGTGTTCTTGAATCGCCATGAGCTGCACGGCGTTGTAACCGAGGTCCTTGATGCGCGGCAGCACGTCGTCGGCGAACTCCACGTAAGAGTTGATCTTCGGCTCAGTGGAGGACATGCCGACGTGCGCTTCGTAAATTCGAAGCTCAGAAGGCGCATCCGGGCGTTCGAACTTGAAATTATATTGCTCCTCCACGGGCGGGTCGTAGTAAATGCCGTTGAACGGGATCTCACCAGGCTGCTGCACGGCGTATTTGATCCAAGCCGGAATCTTGTCAACCGGTTCGGCGTTCGGGATTTGCAGATGGATCTTCACACGAGAGCCGTGCGGGATCGCGGGAGACCCATCTTCGTTGTTCGGGAGAAACACTTCGAAGACGCCGAAGTCGTTCTTGGTCATCCACTTACCGTTTTCTCCCAGATCCCAACCATTGAAGTCGCCGCGAAGGCACGCGGCGGAGGCGTTTGGCGCCCACTCTCTGTACGTGATGCCCTCCGCGGTGCGCGTGAAGCCCATCTTTTCGTAACCGCGGCTGAACTTCTCCAAGCCACCTTCATTATCTTCGATCGCTTGGCGCAGGCCCTTAAACTTGTTCCAGCGATACTCCAGGTGTCCCCTGTGGCTCTCGAGCGAAGGATCCGTCGCGCACACGCCCAAGCCGTCGCCATCGAGCGCGGGGAACTTGAACCCCTCCAAGCGGTCCGCCGCCTCGTTAAAAGCGCCCACCGGTGCCGGCGCAACCGCGGCAAAAGCTGGTTCAGGAATCGATTCAACGACCGACTCGGACGTCGATTCAACGACCGGCTCGGACGTCGATTCAACCGCCGCCGCCTCGACCACCGCCGCCTTCGTCCCAACGCTCACCGCGTTCTCTTCCGCCTCCAACGACGCCTTCAACCGCTCATTCTCCAACCTCAGCGCCTCCACCGCTTTCGTCACCGAATCGATGTCGAAATCGTCTCCGCCCGCCCGTCGCTTCGCGAGCGTCCGCGCGCTTCGTCGTCGCCATCCCTACCGCGCGCGCACGTCACCGCGTCGTCAGTCCGCGTCCATCATCCCATCGCACGACGTCTCCCACCCCGCACGCGTTCTCGCGCTCGACCGCGTCGTCGTCCGAGCCCATCGTCGTCGTCTCATCCGTCGCGCCCTGGCGCCCCGGCGTCTCGCGGATCTCCCGCGCGCGCGTCCGCGTCGTCGCCGCGCCGCCCGTCGCCCGCATTCGCGCGCGTTCACGCGCACGCACCGATCGCGCGTCCACGCGCGCGGGCGCGCGGGCGCACGACGCGCGCGCGCGCGACATCGTGTGCCGATCGCGCGCGACGTGGACGAGTGGCTCTCGCGCCTCGAGGCATTCGTCTTTTACATGCTCTTTACAGCGCGTCGTATGCGTACGGATGTCCGAGAATGGAATATATCCACGCGCGCGCCCCGCGGATCGGTCGTTCTCGACACAGATAGCCTTCGGGGGGGTGGTATATGGACGGCGTCGACCGGTCGCGTCGACCGGCGCGGCCGACGCCGCGCGACGCGTCGACGCGCGACGCCGGCGATGTGGGTCCTGCGATGCGCCCAGGGCGAGGACGGGGCCGAGGGCGGGGACGTGTGGACGCTGAACGCGCACGCGGGGCGACAGACGTGGACGTACGTCGAGGATGATTCGACGGACGCTCGAGCGGTGCGCGCGTTTCAAGACGACGCGCGGGCGGCGTACGCGTCGACGCGGGCGACGGTGCGGCACTCGGGGGATGTGTTCATGCGAGCGCAGTACGACGGGCGACGGAAGACACGGGGGGTGGAGACGTGGAGGGACGTCGGGGCGAGCCGGGCGCTCGACGCGAGCGACGCCGAGGTGGACGCGGACGTCGTGCGAGAGGCGATGCGGGCGGGTATCGAGTACTATCGGGGGATACAGGACGACGATGGACACTGGGCGAGCGATTACGGGGGGCCGATGTTTCTCATGCCCGGATTGATCATCGCGGCGCACGTCATGGGGAAGACAGAGGAGATCTTGGGGGAACGCAGGCGCGCGGAGATGTTGCGGTACCTGGAGAATCACCTGAACGAGGACGGTGGAGTCGGATTGCACATCGAAGGACATAGCACGATGTTTGGCACGGTGCTGACGTACGTGGCGATGCGGTTGCTCGGTAAGGAGGCGGACGCGCCGGAGTGCGTCGAGGCGCGGGAGTGGATCGTGTCGCGCGGCGGAGCGACGCAAGTGCCGTCGTGGGGGAAGTTTTGGCTCGCAGTTCTCGGAGTATACGAGTGGCATGGACTCAATCCTGTGCCGCCGGAGTGTTGGTTACTCCCGTATTGGCTTCCGCTTCACCCGGGTCGATACTGGTGTCACTGCCGAATGGTGTACCTCCCGATGAGTTACCTGTACGGCATCCGCGCCACGGGCAAGCCGAGCGCGTTAACGGAGGCGTTGAAGAAGGAACTCTACGCCGAGACGTCGTACGACGCGATCGACTGGAATAGAGCGCGAAACGCGTGCGCTAAGGAGGACTTGTATTATCCGCATCCGTGGATCCAGGACGTTCTCTGGGCGTCCATCATGAAGTTGGAACCGTTCCTGATGAACAGTCGATTGCGAAAGGCGGCGTGCGCCGACGCGATGCGGCAGATTCATTATGAGGATGAGAACACGCGCTATATCGATATTGGACCCGTGAACAAGGTATTCAACATGCTTTGCTGTTGGTTTGAAGATCCGAACTCCGAGGCGGTGAAGAAGCACATTCCTCGCGTCGCCGACTACCTCTGGGTCGCCGAGGACGGGATGAAGATGCAAGGATACAATGGCAGTCAGTTGTGGGACTGTGCGTTCTCCGTCCAGGCCATCGTCGCAACTGGACTCGCCGATGAATACAGCGATTGCTTGCGCCTCGCGCACGACTACATCGACAAGAGTCAAGTGCGAGACGACTGTCCAGACGTGAAGAAGTGGTATCGTCATATCTCCAAGGGTGCATGGCCGTTTAGCACGCGTGACCACGGATGGCCGATCTCGGACTGCTCGTCCGAGGGTTTGAAGGCGGCACTTACGCTGGCAGCGATGGATGAGAAGAAGTTTGGCAAGGCGATCCCGGTGGAGAGGCTTGCGGACTGCGTTAACGTCATCTTGTCCTATCAAAATCGCGGCAGTGGTGGATGGGCGACGTACGAGAACACACGTTCTTACAAGTGGGTCGAATGGTTGAATCCGGCGGAGACTTTCGGAGACATCATGATCGATTACCCGTACGTAGAGTGCTCGAGTGCGAGTCTCCAGGCGCTGTGCAAATTCTCTGAGCGATACCCACACATTCGTACGAAGGACATCGCGCACGCGAAGGCGACCGGACGAAAATTCTTGAAGCGCATACAGCGCGCGGACGGCAGCTGGTACGGGTCGTGGGCGGTGTGTTTCACCTACGGCACGTGGTTCGGCGTCCTCGGCTTGATCGCCACTGGATCGACGTACAAGACGTGTCCGGCACTTCGCAAAGCGGTGGACTTTTTGCTCTCGAAGCAACAAGAGAGCGGCGGATGGGGCGAGAGTTACTTGTCGTGCGAGAAGAAAAGCTACCATGAGCTTCTCGACGCCGAGGGTAAGCCCAAGCCACATCTTGTGAACACAAGCTGGGCCATGCTAGCGCTCATCGCAAGCGGTCAAGCATCGCGCGACGCCAGGCCGTTACACCGCGCCGCGCGCTCGATTCTGCGTCAACAATGTGAGAATGGTGATTTTCCGCAACAGAGTATCATGGGCGTGTTCAACGCCAACTGCATGATCTCCTACAGCTGCTACCGTAGCATTTTCCCGCTCTGGGCTTTGGGCGAGTATACATCGAAAGTTGCCGATGCATGAACCCAAGAAACGCTGAAAACGATTAGGCACGAATGACTCTATTAATACAACGCAATTCATTCTCTCTCGTCTGAAACAATAAACACCCGCTCGAGCTGCTCGAGCCTAGAGGTACCAGAGTACGCGTTTGTTCGCTTTTAACGCCGTGTACACCGCTATGACCTCATCGCCACTCTGCATCTCGATCGTCACGTTCGCGCTCACGTACTTCCCCTTCGAGCTCGCCCTTTGCGTCACGTTCTCCGGGTGCACCTCTCTCCCGCCCAGCGCGTCGCTGACGATCGCCCGTACATCGTTCACGAACGTTCCGTCGTCCACGCCGATGGCCTGAAACTTCCGCGCGCACGGGTACTCGTTCACCTTGGCGTCGAGCTCTCGCCACTTCTCGTCGAACTCCAACGGCGCTCTCGAGTCCCCCGCCGCGTTAGAGCTCGCGTCTCGGCGCGCGCGCGCGAGGGAGCCGTCGAGCGAGGTCGCGCGCTCGGGGTCGTTTTCGGCGCCGGCGCTCTTGGCGAGGACGAAACGTCGACGATTCGCGCGCTCGGTCGCCCCGAGGGCTCTGATCGCGACGAGCGCGCGTGGGGTGGCGGCGCGCAGGAGCATGCGACGCTGCGGATTCGATCGGTGCGCGGGCGCGCGCGGGTGACTGGGGTTTGCAGTGGGCGGCGGCGGCGGGGCAGCTGTAGCGAAGGTGGATTACAAATTGGTTCAACGCGTGCGCCTTGGGGACGGTTTGCTCGGTGGAGACGCACGTTTCTTGGTGGCCTCGCGACTCGCCGCGGCGGTCGGTCTGAGGTCGCCTCGGGAGATCTCGGTCTTGACCTCAAGCGAGCCTTTCGAGACGCCATGAGCGCGACCGTTCGCGTCCGGCAGCTTGGAGAGCCACGATGCGGCCTCAGAGGGAGATTTCTTCCCGCTCGCGACGTCAGCGTAGACTTGTAAGATATCACGAACGACGATCGCGGGCTCGTCCACGAGCTCGACTCGGAAATGCGTGATGCCGGCGGCGAGGAACATCTTGAGGAAATCCACACCAGTCTGCGCCTGGGCGTTGAAGACGGTGTTACGGCAGCCCATGTCCGCAAGGACGAGGTGATCGGCGCCGTGGTCGTCTCGCAGGTGCAGACTTTTGCTCTCACAAGGATGACCGCAGTCCTTGAACGAGTTTCCGTCGGACATGAACCGACAGAAGACACAGTGCTCAGTGTGGAAAATTGGCAAGTGCTGGTGCACGATGACCTCGAGCTTGGATGCTCCCTCGGGGCCGAGCGATTCGGCCAATGCGCGTTGTTGCTCCGCGTTTAAATCATGCGTCGGCGTCAATCGATCGAGTCCAGATCGAAGGAAGAGATCGGCCCCGATGGAGTTGGCAGCGTTCAGCGAAAAATCGCCGCGTAACGATGGTACGTCTTCCGATCCAGACTCCCTCAAATCGAGAAGGGTTCTCAAGAGTCCAGCAGAACGAACAAGCAGTGCATCGGCGCCGAGGTTGAGATAGAATCGCCAGAGTTGTTCCTCCTCGGGTTTGAGCACGCGAGGCGTCGCGACGACCGCTGTTTTTCCAGCGTCTTGCACGAGCTTCACCACCTTGGCGAGGCCGTGCACCTCTAAGAAATCCAACACAATTTCATCAAAGCCAGCCGCCTCTATCGCCGCCTCTGCCTGCGTACGCGTGCGGCAGAGTACGGAGATCGACGCTTCATCGTTTCGCGCGGACTTCTTCGTCGTCGCCATCGTCGACGTTTGAGATTTTCTCGCGCCATCGCCCCACCATGCATTACGAACGAGAGCGTCGACGACTTCATCGTTTGCCAATCCTTCCGCGCGGTCCGGACCTCCGGTCCGTCGCTCTCGCAGAAGCGCCTCCACTGCGTCACGTCGTGCCGCCTTAATCTCTGTCGGTGATATGTACAGTCCCTTCCCAGGGATCGGAGCTTCGTCTCCGTCGCACACTATTCCTCGTAGTGCAGAGACGTCGACACTTGCCGTGACGAGAGGCGTACCTCCGAGCTCGCCGATGGCTTTACGAAGAGACTTTTCGTCCAGGGCCTTGTTTTGGCTTGATTCTAGCGCTGAAAATGTGCGTCCTTCACCCGTCCGACCGGCTTCGTCTATTATTTGAACGACGAGCTGCTCGTTGAGGGCGCCGCGAACAACGACAGCCACAGAGTCTCTGAATCCTTCACGACTCACTTGTTCCGTGGGAACCATCTTCGCCAACTTCGCCTCGAGCGTTGGATCCGAAGTCCGCCAGACGAGCTGCCCGACCTCGATTCTATCGAAATCAATTTGATTCGATCCGAACGCGATGGTGTACTCACCGTCGGTGACACCCTCACCCTTTCCACCAACAAGCTGTCGGTTACTGTCAAAAATTTCGAACACGCGCCCGCCCTCTTCCTTGTCTTGCGGAGCGCCTCGATCGATGACGACGCCGTCACCTCGCTTCATCTCCACTCCATCACTCACGCGAATCATGACCTCACCGCTCGTTCGTCCGTTCCTGATCACGCGCGTGATTTCTCCCAGGAAGACGCCGCGATGCCTCGGCGCGCGTCCGCGCACCAAGCGCTGATGTTTCGGCCCCTCCAAAAATCCGGGCGTGAGACCGTCAAACTCGGCGTCTTGCCCGCGCGCAAACACCTGTGTCAGCTCTATTCGTTGTTCATTCGTCAACAGCTCGGACGGATCAACATCACACCCCCGTTGCGTCGCTTCCCACGCTGCGTCCACGGCACGTCTGTACGCCCGAGTCGTGCTCGCAACGTATTCAGGTCCCTTCAACCGTCCCTCGATTTTAAAGCACCCGACGCCGGCGTCGATAAGCTCCGGCACAAGTTCGACCGCCATTAAATCTTGAGGCGAGAGCAAGTACTTCACGTCGCCCATCTCCTGCAAGTCGCCGTCGACGACCAAACCATATGGCATGCGACACGCCTGGGCGCATTGCCCTCTGTTCGCGCTCCGCCCACCCCACGCCTCGCTCGAGAAACACTGGCCGCTGTAACTCACGCACAGCGCGCCGTGAACGAACGCCTCCACCTCGACGTCGGGGCAGCCGGCCTTGACTGCCGCAATTTCTCGCACGCTGAGCTCTCGGCCGACGACGACGCGTTTACATCCCAACTCTTTAGCGAACCGTGCGCCCTCGGCGCTCGTCACCGACATCTGCGTCGAGCCATGAATCGGAAGATTCGGTGCCAACTCTCGAATCATCTTCGCCACGCCGACGTCTTGCACGATCACTGCGTCCGCACCGGCCTTCGCGACGCCCCGGATCAACCGCTCCGCCGTTTTCAACTCCTCATCGAACACCAAGACATTCATCGTCACGTAACATTTACGCCCTCTCGAACGCGTGTACTTCACCACCTCCGATAGCTCCTCCAACGTGAAATTACTCGCCCGCGCCCGCGCGTTCAGAGCATCCAACCCCAAGTACACGCAGTCCGCACCGCTCTCGATCGCCGCGCGCAGTTGCGGCCATCCGCCCGCGGGCGCCAACACCTCGGGCTTGCTCCGCGCGCGCGTCGACGCCTCCGCGCTACCATCCGCGCCCGCGCTCTCCCGTCCCCCCCCTAACGTTCCAGGTTTCACCCCCGCGGACTCCCGAAGGTATCGCTCGCCCTTTCTTCGTCCCTCTTTGCCCTCGATCGACGCCCGCGCGGGAACGCTCGAGCGAAACGTCGACGACGCGCACCGGCGGCGCGCGCGCGAATCGACCGTTTCCGACCCCCGTACGCGCGCGCGCGCACCGACGCGCACCGAGAACGACGTCGACGGCACGTCTGCACGCGTCGCCATCGCGCGCGACGATCGTCGACGCGTCGACCGTGCGTGAGGTCAACTCGAAGCGCGACGTGTGACGCGTCACTCGTCGATGCGCGCCGTCCGAGCGCACCGCGCGCGCGCGCCGACCGCGCCCGACGGCGCGTGCGCGCACGTACACGTTCGGGTGCGTGCGCGCGTCCCCGTCGACGGCGAAAATCGCGCGCGTGTGCGTTCAGGCGAGCGGAAACGAGCGAAGACTGACTCGACGTCGCGCGCGCGCAGGACGAGACGGATTTCGGCATCGGCGCGCTCCTCGTGCGCGATTTAGCGCGTGAGGTGGCTTTGGAACACGCACACGGGCGTTCTCGAGCGTGCGCGTCGATCGTGGGGGCGTGGACGCGCTCGAGGGAGTTTTATGAGAGCGATGGGACACGCGCGGTTGATTTGCGCGCGCGAAGCGCGACTTCGAGCGCGGACGACGCGTCTGGTGCGTTCGTTCGAGAAACCATGGTGCGAGCGTTGGAAGATGGGCGCAGGAGCGGTGGTAATGGTGTGTTGAGTTCGGGGTGGGCGCTGTGCGCGCTGGATTGCGCGAGTAAATTGTCTCGCGCGTTCGGCGGCGGAGCGCTGCCGTCGACGGTGAGGGCGCTTCGATCTCGAGACGACGTGAGCGTCTTGGTGACGCTTTCGGTGGGGGACGGCGCAGGCGCGGGTGAGCAGTTGGTGGAGTCAGAGGCGACGTGTGTGATCGTCGTGCGTCGCATCGAGGCGGACGATGGACGAGTTGCGGCGGACGTTGAGACGGACGTTCGAAGAGCAATCGGACGACGACGTCGCGAACGTGAACGGGTGACCGTTCTCGACGGCGACGTCTTGGAGTTTTCGGCGATCGAGGTCGAGAGCATTGAGTCTGCGGTCGCACGCGCGCTTCGAACGACGCCGGGCGCAATAGATACCGATGAGGACGAAGAACAGCGCGTCGCGCGACGACTCCAATCCGTCGTGCCGTTTGATCTCGGAGTCAAGCTCTCTGCCGAGGAACGCGAGGCCAGACAAAAGGTTAGACTCTCGTATGAACACCAGGGCGTTGAAGGCGTGAATGCGTACGACGAGGGTGACTTCCTCGCTTACCTTCCTCCCGATGCCGGCGGTCGAGGCTCCGCGCTTGGCGTCACCAAGCCCGGTCGCGGTCACATCTATTATGAACGCGACGCAGCCGACGATGAGTTACACGACGACGATCTCTTTCCCGACACCGACGACGAGGAAGAAGAGTTCTAGATAGTAGGTTAGATATTTCACGAATCTTAGCGTCGATGCATCGTCGTCGGAGCCCTCTGACCCACGCGAGCGGAGCCCAAGGGGCAAAAGTCGACCGGTAACGACGCTTCACGTCCCTTCACCTTCGTCACTTTTTACCGCGTCATGCGACGCCTCGCCGTCGTCCGAGAGGCGGTGATATGGGCCTTGGTATTATCGGCGCTGTACTTGGCGTGCGCCACCGCATCAAGCGCGTCGACGCGCGCCGCCGGCACCGGTGGCGGAACATTCTTCGTTCTCGCGAACGCTTTATTCGTCGGTCGCTTCGCCGGTATTTTCGCGTCGTTTATCGCTCCGACCCCACCGTTGAGCTGCCAAATCGTCGCGGGAATATTTTTGCGCAACGTTCCGTGGATTAATACGCGCGTGGGCGTCGCCACGCGCGATGCGAGCGGGATCGTTCGCACGGTGGCTCTAGGTCTCATTCTCACCAGGGCGGGCTTGGCGCTGGACGCGGGAGACGCGAGGAGGCGGATCAAGGACGTCGGATCGCTCGCGCTGGTGCCGTCAACGATGGAGATGGTGACGTCGGCGGGGATGGGGATCGGGGTCCTGGGAATACCCACGGCGACCGCGTTCGCACTCGGATTTTTGCTGTGCGGGATTTCGCTCGCGGTCGTCGTGCCGCCGGCGGTTCGATTGAAGCGAGAGGGGAAAGGATCTACAGTGTGCGATTTGATCCTGTGCGCGAGCTCGTTCGATGGGATTTACTGCGTCGTAGGGTTTGGGATATGTGCGGGCGTGGTCGGTGGGGGTGGTGGGGCGAGCTCGGCGTGGCGAGTGCCGGCGCAGCTTGCGGGCGGCTTGTTCGCTGGGCTCGCCGCGTCGCGAGCCATCTCGCTAAGCGGGATAGTCACTGCTCCGGAGCGAGCGTCGAGCGCGAGCTCAGACTCGGCAATTATCATGTCTATCGTAATGTTAGCGCTCTTCGCGGCGAAGGAGTTGGGGATGAACGGTGGCGGCGCGCTCGCGTGCATCGTCTTTTGCGTCTCACTGGGGAGTGAGTGGAAATCGCAAGGCTTGGAGAACGCGCTCAAGGAGACGAGCATGTTTATGAACGTACTTTGGAACGAGTTCACGGCGCCATTACTCTTCGTCATTATTGGGATGAGTTTGGATCTCACCGCGCTCGATGGTGCCGTGGCGGGGAAAGCGATAGCTATAATATTTGTCGGCGGCATTGCGAGAGCGCTTGGAGTACTTCTCGCGACGCAGAGGATTCCTTCGATGAATTGGAGCGAGCGAGCATTCTTGACCATGGCGTGGACGCCTAAGGCAACCATCCAAGCCGCGCTGGCGAGCGTCGTTTTAGATCAGGCGAAGGATGTGGACGAGGAAAGCGACGGGCAAAAATTGCTACAGACGGCGTTGCTTTGTATTTTGATAACAGCGCCGCTCGGAGCGTGGTGCATCGAGTACTTCGCGCCGAGGCTGTTACGTCCGGACGACGAGATGCCGGTCGTTGTTGTCGAGGTATTGAAATCGAAGGAGGAGAGGAAAGTTTAGGTAGACGTGTTGTAATGCAGGACGAAACTGTTCTTATTTAAAAATTTGACCTAAATGTCGATGCTTTCCTTCGTGAAGGCGGGCATGTCGAACGCCGACGAGAATGCCTCAACCTCGGCGCGCATCGACGCGACCTTGGGATTGCCGTCTAAGCCCTTTTTCCAGTCCTTCAACATCTTCCCGTGGCTCTGTTGCACCTCCAAGCACAAATCAACGGCGCGGGAGAGGAAGTCAGCGATTTGGACGAAATCCTTTTCCACCAAGCCGCGAGACGTCATCGCGGGAGCGCCAATGCGTACACCGCCCGGGGACAGCGCGCTCGCGTCGCCAAACACTGCGTTCTTGTTCAGGGTGATGTGCAGGAGATCGCACAGGTACTCCATCTTGCTCCCGGTGAGGCCGAGCGGGCGCAGATCCCAGAGCACCAAGTGGTTATCCGTGCCGCCGGTGACGAGGGAGTATCCCTTCTCGACGAGGCGTTCACCAAGAGCCTTGGCGTTAGCCTTGACTTGCTTGATGTACTCCTTGAATGCCGGCGTCGCCGCGTACTTGAGGGCGACGCACAGAGCGCCGATTTGGTGGTTGTGAGGACCGCCCTGGAGCGACGGGAACACCGCCATGTTTATGCGCGACTCGTAGTCGTAGTCCTTACCAGTTTTCGCATTCACGCCTCGACGGAAGAAGATCATCCCCGACCGAGGACCGCGAAGGGACTTGTGCGTAGTTGTGGTGACGATATCGCAGTACTCGAACGGTTGCGCCTGTTCCTCCGCAGCGACCAAACCAGAGATGTGCGCCATGTCCATCATGAGCATCGCCCCGCACTTATCCGCGATTTCCCTGAATCGCGCGTAATCCCAATCTCTCGCGTACGCCGACCCGCCGCAGATGATCATCTTCGGTCGGAAATCCATCGCCTTCTCCTCGAGCTTTTCGTAATCGATCAAACCAGTCTTCGGATCCACCTTGTACGGCAACGACTCGAAGAAGATGCTCGTCGCCGAAATCTTCTTCCCGTGCGCCGTGTAATATCCGTGCGTCAGGTGTCCTCCACTCGGCAGATCCAAACCCATGATACGGTCGTGCGGTTGTAAAAGCGCGGTGTACACCGCCAGATTCGCGGGCGATCCGCTGTACGGCTGCACGTTCACGCCCCAGTCCTTCGCGTCCAGGCGATACGCGTGCAACGCTCTCTCTTGGCACAACGTCTCCACCTTATCGATGATCTCGTTCCCACCGTAGTACCGCGCACCGGGAAGCCCCTCCGAGTACTTGTTCGTGAGCGCCGAGCCGAGCGCCTCCATCACGGGCGCGCTGGTAAAGTTTTCGCTCGCGATGAGCTCGATGCCGCCGATCTGTCGCTTCTTTTCATTTTGAATCAAGTCGTACACCTCTCTGTCGGCCTCCTTGAGCGGAGACAAAGCCTCGGGGAAGACGCGGTCCATCTTTCGCGCCCGCGTGTTTTGAGACGCGAGAGACGACGTGTGGGCGAAGTGCCGCGCGCGCGATCGCGAGGAAGCTGAAGAAGCACGCAGAAAATCGGGTTTTTGACACCGTGTAGTTAATAACCAAAAGTTCAAGTATTTTATCCGCGTATTTTGAAGGGTATCTGGTCTATGTGATACGAAACGACATTTTCGCGTCGTGTGAACGAGGGACTTCGAGACGCTCGTCAGAGCGCGAACGCTCGTCATGGCGAAGCGGGCGATGCGAGTCATCGTCGCGCGGCGAAAGCAAATCGTTTTCTTACTGGGAGTGTTTTTTCTCGGACTGTTCGCGAAGGTGGCGAACGCGGAGCACCCGAGGGATGCTTCAAATTTTCAGGGAAAACATCCGTGCGCGCGCGGCGTGCGAAGCTCGACGCCGAAGAGCGTTCGGGACGTCTCGGAGATCGTTCGGCAGAGCGAATCGGTGCGTGCGAACGGCGCGGGGCACTCTTGGCACCCGGGATTGTATTGTCCTGCGCGCGGTGGGACGCGCGTGGACTTACTCAATGTGCGCTCGGTGGAATCGAGCACACGATGGATACTTGACGAGCGCGCGCGTGTCGTTCGCGCTGACGCGGGATTACTCACACGAGATTTACTCGATGGGTTAGCGAGTCGAGGTTATACGCTTCCTGCATTTCCGTGGTTCATCGATCAAACCATCGGCGGTGCGGTGGCGACAGCGAGTCATGGATCGAGCCTGCGCGCGGGTTCGTTGTCATCGCAGCTCGTCGCCGTCACGGTCGTGCTTGCGGACGGCTCCGTCGAGCACTACGCCGAGACAAAGACATCGCCGGCTCTGTTTGAATCACTTCGGGCAAATGTTGGGCGATTGGGCGTCGTTGTGGACGTAAGCCTTCGGGTGGTTGAGAACTCTCGCATCACTCGCAATAACGAAGACATCGCGCCAGATGCATTCGTTGTCGAGATGTTTCACGTGCAAGCAGCGACGCGTGCGTGCGCGAAACAATATCCAGACGACTTGAAGGCGCAGTGGTCGTGCGCCATGTCCAAGCCGGAGGTGCGAGCGCTAGATGAAACCCAATATTTTTGGTACACACCACTGCAAGAAATGTCCCGAATCACATTCCAACGAGAAAAGCCAGGCGCGCTCAATTTCACCGCCTACGACGAGCGTTCAGCTTCGAGCGCGCTCTCATCCGTGAATTTCGGCTCACTATCATCGGGCAGTTTGGTTCGTGACTCGCCGCCACGCGCACGTGATATTACGAGCCCAGTGACGCTGATGGGATCGGAAGGCATGGCGTCGGCTTGGGCGAGAACTTGGAAACGAGCAACGCTTCTGAATATTGCGCCAGTGACAGACGAGCAGCGCGATTCTTTCTTGTCCATGACAGAGGAGCAGTATTTGCTTCATGAACGTTACGGATACGAGCAGCTCGAGGTTGCCGTACCGTTCACAAAGGCTGGCGACTGCATGCAGGCATTCAAGACGGCGCTGTACGATGATCGTGAATTAAATCTAGGTTTCAGATCCCAGGCTCTGCTTCGATTCATCCAACCTGAAAGTGCGTGGCTATCGCCCGCGCATGGTCGTCTCGGCACACTATACATCAACATCGAGGACTTTGTCAAATATTCTCGAGTGTTTGATACGCTGGGGAACCCGCGATTCGACGCTGCTGTGGCCATCCTACGCGGAGACAAATGTGACGGACGTTTGCACTGGGGCAAGTTTGGGTTTCCGAAACGAGGATGCTTTGATGGCGCCAAGGAGTACGGCGTATCATTTTGTCATTTTGGATGTCAAGTCAGTCGTCTCGATCCGACGAATAAATTCTTGGGCGATTCCGACGCTCTCCAATTCTCCGGAATCGACTTTGCTGCGTGTTGTGGCGCAGACGGTCTCTTCGTGGAGAACACGACGTGTAAATGTGTGTTGAACGATCGCATACCCGCCGATCAATGCTGAATCACTCGTTACCGGTACTAGTACAAGTACTTGTACCATTAATACTACAAGTACAATTCTAGTGACACACGCTGAGCAATCCGTCTTCGTTCAGCATCGCGAATAGACGCGAGCTCGGGAGGAGCTGAATTGCACTAAACGCAGATTGCTCGGCGCCACTCTTCGGCGCCGACGGTGTACTCACGCCGTGTACTGAGAGAGGAGCGAATCTTGTGAATTGCTCCGTGCTAGAGTTCAAAGAGAATATCCCGATGGATGTTCCACTTACGCTGAAAACATCACCCTTTTCGCTGACGGCGATGTCTCGCACCTCGCGTTGATGCCCACGGAACGTACGTAATCGCCCGTCATATCGCCTCTTTGCATCGCGCCCGCCACCAATCATACGCATGTCCCAGAGTCCAACCGTCATGTCGCTCGATGCGGTAAGTAATTCATGTGGCTCGTTCGACGCGGAGATGATTTTGTTTATCCCACTGTCGTGCGCCTTTACTTCAAAGACGTTCTCATCAGATGCTCTTGAATCAAATCCATACATGTATCCGTCCCGATTGCTTGCACATATCACACCATCTGATGATACGTATAACGCGCTCACGCTCCTTGAGTTTGGACACGAGAATTGTCGAACCACTCTACCTGCACAAGCGTCAGCGATGAGGACGTTTCCCTTTGTCGTTCCACCGATGACGTGTTCGCCACGAGCGTCTGACGCGCGCAGTGATTGGAATCCGTCCGAATCCCGTGCATAAAACTGCCAAACGTGGGCGCCACTCGTATTCCATACTTGAATATAGCCCTTATCGTCGCACGAACACGCCCTAGAAACGTCACCCTCTCTGTCCCTCGCGAAATTGAGAAACGCGCTGGCGGTCACTGTCGCCTTGGCGTGCCCGTTGTACTTGGTCATCGCGCCTTCTTCGTCACCCCTGGGCCCGCTCGCTCGCCACACGCACACGATACCGTCACATTTAGACGTCGCCCCGTGAGTCAAGAAGAGTCGTTCGTCCGCACTCACGTCGAGAGCCTGTGCGGACGGTCGGACAAGTTGGCTGTGCGCTCGCCACGACGTGAGCGCCTCAACGTGCAAGCGCCACGGCTCGTCATCGACGGCACCGGCACTGGCGAGAACTTGCGACATCGTAAGTTCATCGTCATTGATGCCGTCGTCCCGGTCAAAGGGTGACACACGAGGAAGCCAACTCCACTCGGACTTCGTCGAGCCCGTCGCGGGGCTTTGTGGATGCCAGTCATCGAGATTCTCCAGAATTGATGAAGGCGCCCCCATTGAGGTCCGTAATATCAGTTCTTCAGCACGGGGTCCGAGATGTTCGCTTATCGACGTTAAGACATCCGCGACGATCACGTGTGCTCCGCTGGAAGTGTCGTCTCGATTGTTCCTCAGTGCCTTGTGCAGAACATCTACAATGCGACGCAGAACAATTGGCAACGGCGTCGTCCTCGCCACGTAAACCAATGCTTGAGTGACACGTTCGATCTCTTCCGAGCTGCAACGGAACTTTGGTTGCAGGCACGCGATGAATACGGGTATCATGACGCGATTAAACGTCGCTGCGCCGATAGACCTTCGGATGCATCGAAGAACATTCAGATGGAACATTTCTCGTTTCAACGTCGGTCCCTCGACGTTTCTTGAGTTGGGTGCGCTCAGGGCGTGAACGAACAGTGGGAACAAAGTATTGATGATGTCGCGTCTCGAAGCGACATCACACGCAGTTTGGACAAATAGCGAGAAGCTCATCGCCAGTTGCATTTCTTGAGTCTCACTGAACGGTGCCACGATGTACTCTTCAATTTCAGGACAAAGGTCTTCCAAAACGAATCGCGAGACTGTGTTTGAGGCTCCTTTCAGTCCCGCCTCTGCGACCATGATTCTTGCCGCGATCGATTCGTGCGCGGATCTCATGTTTCCAAGAATCGTCGCGGCCGACCGGATATCTTGAGAGAACAAGACCGAGTCGCGGACGGCGGCGGCGCCGATGGGCTTCGCCGAGTCCATCAGAAGCTTCACCACGTCTCGCGCTTCGACGGGCATGCGACTCAGCCACGCTTTATACGACTTGAAAGCCGTCTTCGCGTGGACTTTTCTATCTTCGAAAAGACTTTCGCTGACTGATTTCATTGGTGACTCTTCGAAGAGTCCGTTTGAAGGAGCTGCGCTTTCAAACTCGGGACACGGCGCTCCCGCGTAAATGGCGCCTAATATGCGACCCAGTGCCCGCAAGTCATCGTCCTGAGCGACACTCAAAGGTGGCTCCGTAATGAACATCGTCGACATCGTCGTCGCTAGCGCCAGGGCATCGCTTTCCGAACCGCCGCGAGGGGATAAAGACCGTGGGACGACGCCGACACTTCGCTTAGGATGCGGCGTGTGAAACAGGCAAAGTCTCCCACCTGATGATGGAAGCGTGCGATTGCTATCAGGCACCATCACATTCTTCGCATCGATAGCAGCCGTGCCGTACGTGGCGTAGCCGAAAGTCAAATCTATCCAAGAATGTAAGTTTTCGCTCACGACGCACGATTCAAAAGCCTCTTGGTGGACTTTAATGAAGTATGATGCCGAATCCTCCCCGACTCGAGCCCAGGTCGGGAGGGCCAAGTCGCTCATGTCCTCGTGAATCGACTTGAATACTAGCGGGTCGACGTAAAACTCAATAGGTGCTTCATCCGGCAAAACTTGGTAAAGCCGAGACAAATCTTTCGGATACTCGTCGGCGACGACGTTCGCGCGAACAACATGCGCCAGCGTCGCGCGAGGCGTTCGCCTGGCTAACGCAATACACACCCCCAGCTCGCTAAGACAATCGCCACTCACGTGGTGCGGCGGCATTGTGTTGCGATAGGTAAAATCTAACTGCTCATCACCCTTCGTCAATCGAAACTTTGTCTTTGTCAAATCTCTCAAGCCGTTGAGTGAGCCATCAGCGTTGAGCGGAAACTCAGAGAAATCAATTACCCACGGTGCGAAAGTGTGATTCGAACGGTCCTTATCGCGTCTCGCGATTTCGTTGAGTTTCACGACGTACTCCAAGTTTCCGATGGCGCCCACACGCCACGCCGCGGTGATGTTTCTAATGTCTGAGTTCTCGCGAACTCGCAAGGCGCTCTCTGCCGACACCTCGAACGTTCTCGAACCACCGACACCTACCGCGCGCGCATGGGGCGAATTATACATCCCGGTTACTTGAACATACGGCGTCCCTCTGGCACCACCACTGAGCGTCGAGACAGACGTCTCGTCGACACTCAAATTTCCTAGCGCAAGTTGACGCTCATGGCAGTGTGCGACGCCTCGGCACAGCTGCAAAGCCGCCAACGACTTCCGATCTGCGCCGTCAAACGCCCCAAACCCACTCCTCAAACAAACCGCTAACGTGTGCGCGTTGGTCGGCTCGACGCTCACGACAACGCAAGATTCATCATCGACGACGACGACGACAGCCGGCGAAACGTTCGGATGCGACGACCGAAACGCAGCGTTCGCCGACCCACCTCTCACCACCATGCTCCTCAACGCCGCATGTGTCGCCTCCGCAGCCGTTTTCACGGCTTCACGACGCGTACTCAAGCGAATCGTGCGACATCCAAGCCGTTCCGCCACCTGAAATCGCCTCGTCCGCTCGTCCGGAGAGCACGCTCGGACGCGCACGAGCGCCCGCGCAAGCCTTCGCGCGTCCTCAGTCGACTCGATCACCCCCTCCGATCGATCCCGATCGACGTAACGTATTACAGCGCTTCCATTCGTCAGCGTTGCGCGCGTGATTTCGTCCAGAATCGTCGTCGCGAGACGATTCTCTCGAATCATGTCGATTCACTTTGATGATGAAGCACAGACGAATCACGCGCTACCGTCGCCGATCCCAACGTTCATCGCGCCCACACGAACTCGACGACGACGACGATCACAAAGGTTGCGATCGCGCACAAGAGCGCCGTCTGCGTCGCCGCGCACGTTCGCCGAGCGCGAATCACCGCGAGCTCTTGGTCCTCGTCGAAAGCGCGCGCCATGGACTGAAGCGCGCGTCAATCCCGCGCTCGCGCGTCCGCCTCTCCCGATCGTATCGGGCGATAGAGGAGAGCACGCGCGGCGTCGTAGAGCCACTCGTCGCGCGCGCGCGGCGATCGCGCGCGAGAGAGCGCGGGTTCGATTCGTAACGGTCGCTCGGGGAAAGGATTCGCTCGCGCCGCGCGCGCGATGCGTCGAACGCGGTCGGTGAGGAGCGATGACGCGACCGTCGATGAGTTGTCGCGCGCGAGGGAGCGCGCGAAGGCGGTGGCACGCGCGATCCGGCGTAAATCGGGCGAACTGCTGAAGAGCGCGAAGGAAGAGACGTCGAGGCGCGGGAAGAGCGCGGTTCGACGAGCGGTAACGGGAAGCGCGGAGACGCGAGTGCGGGATTTTGTGAAGATTCCGAGGGTGATTAGACAGATCGATAAGGTGTCGTTCTGCGTAGGGGTGTTCGGGTTGATGATGACGGAGTACGTGGCGACGCGAGCGCCAGAGAAGTTTTGGATGTTCTACGCATTCGCGATGCCAGCGATCGTGTGCGTGAGGGCGGTGTACTATCGAATGATTCGGTGGCAATACTTTTTGTACGACTTTTGTTACTTTGCGAACGTGAGCGTGCTGGTGTTTCTGTGGACGAGGAGAAGCGCGACGGCGTTTCGGTGCATCTTTGCCTTCGCCAACGGGCCAGTGCTGTTGGCGATTCCTTTGTGGAGGAACTCGCTCGTATTTCACTCCGTGGACAAAGTGCAGAGCGTGTTCGTGCACGCGATGCCGTGTTTGATGACGTGGTGCGGTCGATGGTACGGGTTCGGGGACGATGAGAACAGGCTGAGCGTGGCAGATTTGGACTCGGATGTGACCGTGTTGCAGGGCTCGTTGGATCTCATGGTGTATCCCATGCTCGCCTACCTGCTCTGGCAGACGCTCTATCTCGTGAAGACGGAGTATGTGGACAAGGCTAAGCTCGATACCGATCCCGCGCTGATGACGTCACTCCGCTGGCTTGCGAGTGATCGGAAATCTGCGGCTAATAAATTCGCCCTGAAGACAATGCGCGGCATCGGTCTCTTCGGCACTGATGAATTTTTCGATCCAAAAACGTGGAAGACCAAGTTCGTGTTCGTCATGTTCCAGCTCTGCTACACCATCGTCACGTTCATTCCGATTCCGTTCTGCTACCTGAATTACTACGCCCACACGGCTCTGATGTGGGTATGCTTTGGCACCTCCGTGTACAACGGCGCCGTGTACTACATCGACATCTTCTCCACGCGTTACGTCGAGCGTCTCGCCCTCGCCGAGGAGTTCATACGATGCCAAATGGTGAACGAGCTCACCGAGTCCGAGCTTGAAACGATGCAAACGATGGACTTCACCGATTCCGAGATCGAACAGATTTTGATGACTCCCGTCGACTAGTCGCTGTAAAGTAAAACTGTCCTGCGAGCGTCGCCTCAGCGCGCGACGCGCCCGCACGGCTGCCGCCATGTCTCCGTCCCTAGAGACGCTCGAGCGGATTCGAGACATCTTTCTCGATGCCGCGTCGCACGCGCACGCTGACGCCCGCGCGGTTCTCGAGCGTACGGACCCGTCGAAGATTGCTCGAGCGACGTCGAGCACCGGCGGCGGGTCGGTACAATGTGACGTCGAATGCGGTGTCGCTGGCGCGTTATTCAGAGCTCTACGAACAGTGAACTGTGACGAGAGCTCACCAGAAGCGACGGTTCGAACGACGTCGCCGTACGGCGTCGAGCGAGATCACACGGTTCGGACACTCGCGCAGGCGACGCTGGACGCGATACCGGCGGAGACGTACACGGCGATCTTTGCCGACGCGAGATTGCGAGACGGGAGCGATTCGGGGACGATTTACGCGTGTACCTTAGAGAGATACGCCGAGTTAAGGGAGGAGGGGCGGGCGATGTGTTCGAAGTGCGGGAAATTCGTGACGGGGGGCGAGAGAGGACTGTGGTGGCATCGAAAGACGAAGCACGCGGACGCACACGCCGAGGCGATGGAGGCGGTCGATCGCGAGCGGAACGCGCTCGTCGCGATCTCGTCAACGGCGTTAAAGGCGAGAGTGAACGGCGCGGACGCGGCGTACGTGGATAACAAGTCGAAGAAGAAGACTCGAGAGGACGATTTGAGCGCGGGTGTGAGCGCCGCGCGCTCAGGCGACCACTCGGTGCTAGACGCGCTCATCGCGGCGCGGCGCGTCAAAGCGCTTCCCTCACCAGGTCTCGAATCGGCTCGTCGCGGTGATTTAGAGTCTCTGCGCGTGCTCGTGCGCGATGGTTGGGATCCGACGTCGACGAGCGCGGTGGATCGACACGGGAGCAACGCCTTGCTCTGGGCCGCAGGCGGCGGTCACGTCGAGTGCGTCAAGTTTCTCATCGAGTCGTGCGGAATGGATCCCGAAAAAGCGGTGCAGAACGGACGACGATCGTACGCCGGTCGCAGCGCCTTGCACTGGGCGGCGAGAAACGGCCATATCGACGTGGTGAAATATCTCCTCTCGCGTGGCGTCGACGTGGATAGCAAAACGTCAGACGGCTCCACAGCGTTCGCGTGGGCGTGTTGGCAGGGACACATCAACGTTATGCGATATCTCGTCGAACAAGCTCGATGTGACTATCTCCATCGCAATGCGTACGGGTGTAACTGCGCGTGTTGGTCCGCCATGGGCCCAGGCGGCGTCGAGTGCTGCGAATACCTCCGCTCGCTCGGCGTCGAGTTCAATCTTATCAACGCCAACGGTCATAGCGCGCTGCACAAAGCGAGTCAGAGAGGAAACCGCGAGGTGTGCGAGTGGTTACTAGAAAACGCTCGAGAAATCGGCCTCACCGCCGCGCACGCCGCTCCCGACGCCGAGCGATACGATCCGAGCGGGCACGCGCGCGTCGAGGGCTTCGCGGATTTAGCCGCCTGGCTCGCCGAGCGCCAGCTCCACCTCCCATCCGCGTAGCGCATAGACACATCAATAACTAGCCATCAGTTCATCGTATATCACCAGAGTATCATCGACGGGACGTTACAAACAATCACATCCGAGTCCGCGCGCGTCGCCTCCGCCGTCCCATCCCCTCCCGCGCGTCCCACGAGCTCACCGCCCCCCCCCCTGCGCCCCGAGCATCTGTCCCACGATCGCCACCGTCTCCCAGTACTTACTCGCGCATCGATCCACGCACGAGTTCTCCCCCACGTTCAGGTCTCCCTCCTTGAACTTTTTATCGATGCACTTGTCGTAACACGCCCCGACCAATCGATTGAACAGCTCGACGCGATACTCCATCTCCTGTCCAGCCATGGCGAACGCGGCGTCGCGCTGTTCCGCCGTCATCCCACTTCCCGCGCGCGCGTCGTCGGACATCGTCGCGTCGTCGTCGCGTCGCGTCCTCCCGCGCGCCGCCGGGCGCGCGATCGGTCGAAAGGGAAAACCTCGATCGACGCCAAAGGCACGCGTACCTTTGGACACCGGGACGCGGGGGTCGATTTTTACCTTTAAAATATCCTTTCGCGCGCGCGCACGACGCGCGGCGCGCGCGAGACGTCGGCGCGAGCGACGCGCGCGCGCGCGCGAGCGACCGCGCGATCGTGGACGCGAACGAGGCCGCGGCGCGGGTCGTCGTCGACGCGCGCGCGCGACGACGGGCGCGGACGCGACCGCGAAAGTCGGTCGGTGGGTCGGTGGGATGTTCGCCGCGGCGTCGACCGCGGCGCGCGGCGACGCGCGCGCGGAGCGCGGGTCGTCGTCGAC